TATATATATATATATATATATATATATATATATATATATATAAATAACTATACCTCAAAAAAGACTTATCAAAATTCAAATCCAAATTATACAACAATATATACTGTTATAAAATAATAAATAACAGTATATAAATATTATTAATTAGTTTTACTTTTACGATGATGCCGATGATGATGAGCATGGTAATGCCTCTGATTTCTAGTTTCTTGGACTGCAGCAACAAGAGTCCTTACCGCTTCCTCGTGGCCCTCTAAACTGTCAGCCTTCTTCAGAGGGCCAAGACCAGTCGCGTTTGCTTCAGCAGCAGCGATAATTGTTGAATGAGCGGCAGATCGTTTACTTTTAGGTCGTGGGAACGTTTCCCATGATCGTTGTTTCGAAACAAGACTTGGTGTAGATTTAGCTGTTGGTCCTATTAGTACTAGCAGTGTTTTTCGTGGGTCTTTACCAATTAACGCACCATCAGTGAGACTTGATCTCCTGCTACCACCAGATCCTGTGGTGCTCAGACTGTCACAGCTTGCCCGTCTTTTTCTTCTGCCATCGGCGGTTTTTTCACTCGAGTAAAAAACGTCCTCAGAATCACTTGCTGGATACACTCTCACGCTTTTTTGACGCTGCTCATTCGCTTTTCCTGTTCCTGTTGTTGGTTCTTCTGGTGCTGCATGAATTTGAGCTTGAACTCGGGATTTTTTAACGTCTCCTAGGGTTGATGCTTCTGATATTCGTTGATATTCACTTTCTTCAGTTGCTCCTTTTTTAAATGAAAATTAAAAACAATCATTGCATTAATCATAAAAATTAAATAAATATTTTTTTAATTTTTGGAAAGTTATCATTATTTAAATGAAATTCTTTGTATATGTATTCAGAAAAAAAAATTAACTTGAATCAAGTAAATAATTTTGAAGAACTTTATCTACTTGATTTGAGCAGAAAAATTCTTAAACTAAGAAATTTTTCGGTAATTATTTACAAGTGGGGTCAACTCCATTTTGGGCCATAACTAGTTGAAAAATTAACATTTTTTTTATTTTGCTTGTTTTTACGGCGCATTATGATAAAAAAATGTCGTGAAAGGAAAAAATAAAGATTTCGATAGCTTTTTTGCCTTTAAAAGTTTAGGCTTTCACGTTTTTGGATAAAATTTCTATTTTATCTCTTTTTGATGTTTTTGATATATTTTTTTTGAAAAGTACATAAAAAAACGAACAATTTAAAAAAAAAAATTGATCAAAAACAAAAAATTTAACATGGCCCAGCATGGGTCGACCCCAATTTTAAATAATTATCAATTTTTCTTGATTTAAGTAAATTTTACTTGACTCAAGAATTTTTCGTCTGGATTCAAGATAACAAAACTTTTCAAAGTTATTTTTTTGGTTCAAAAATTTTTCTCTCGATTCAAGTGAATTTTTTTTTTTAATGTATGCTTGTTACAATTTGCAAAAAAAATGATGGGAGCTCTAAATTCTTTTAATCGAAGTAATCGAATATTTTTGTTATTTAATATTCTGGAAAATATCCGTATAAAGTTCTGTCTACTATTATAGAAATATTAGGGCGAGTCTAGTGCTGAAAACAAGCAAAAGAAACAATACAAGTGAAACGTAATACGAAGAAAGAGAAAAAAATTACTCCGTTCATTCAATGGTATGAAATTCATCTAAATTCAATCAATAGAAAGATTCCTCTTTTACAATTTCAAATCATCGGTTTTTTTTTCTTGAAGAAAAAAAAATTATAAAAAAGAAAATTACAAAGAACAAAAACTGCTTCTGTCTTTTAAATTTTAATTATTTAAAGCCGATAATAAAATTTTCGACTTTTTTTAATTGTCTCATTACAAAATCAATACCCGGAGCTTCTATCCTAACTCAAATTTTTTTAATTTTCCTTTAGAACTAATTCATAAATCATAATAGCAATAAATAATTACCAGTATTATCTTTTTGAGATTGACTTTCACTGTTTTTATTATCCTGCTCCACACCATCGGCATTATTGTCGCCAGAGCCGCCTTTCAATGACCGATAAAGAGAACGTACTTTGCTGGTAGAAGACGAACCAGGTGGTGTTTTAGGCTTGTGACCACTGTCAGGTGACTTTCTTGACCGACGACTTTGACTACGATCTCTGCTCCCTCCTTCTTCTTTGTCTCTACCTGGAGATTTCTTACGGTCTTCGCGGGTTCGTGCTTTTTCGATTAATTGACTCAGTACCCCGCGTTTAGCTTCTGATGATTTAGCCGTACCATAAACAATAATATTACCACCGGAATCTAAGAGTGCTCCTACTCCGCCCGAGGGAGTTCTGCATCTTGGCGCATCTTTTGATTCTGTAACAGAAAAATTTTAATTGTTATCTTTATGAAAGAAATCATAAACTTACATTGAAAATAATTACTTTTACAAGAAATATATGGTCTTATTGATGTAAGAAATTAACTCGATAATCAATCAATAAAATAAAACTCTTGAATGAGCAAAAAGTTATTGAGAAAAGTTTTATTACTCTAACAGAGTGCTTTACTGTTTTCAGACAAATTTGTTTCTTTTGGATTAAGATACGATTTTATTTAATTAAAATATGAATCAATTCATTTTAACTTAAATCTATGTTTGTATTTTATTTCAACTTCAATTTTTTAAGTAAATTATCCGGTAAACCCCACTGAAAAAAAAAAGTAAATTTGACTAAAGAGCAAAATTCTTGAGTAAAAAAAATCGTTTTGAAGAACTTTATCGTCTTCATTTAAGTAGAAAATTTATTAAATTAACAAAAATTTTATTTTGCTTAAGCAAATTTTACTTGAGTCAAGAGTTTATCTCTTGAATCAAGTTTACTTTTTTTTCAGTATAATCGGTTAGAACTATTCATACAATAATCAAAAACGTTTATTATATGAACATGCACGGAAAAAAGAAAGAGGGAAAAATTACATTATAAATAGTGATGTGTCGCTTCAAATTTAAAACTAGAAAAATTGCAATCCGAAATAACATTTTTAAAATTAAAACTTTGAATGTTAATTTTTACACCTTTAAATTAAATATTTACATTTTATAATGTATCTCATACAACATCTATAAAAATTACAATTTGAAACTATAATTTTTCTAGTTTTTTTTATAAAGAGCCACGTTACATTATATAATGTAATTTTTCCCTTCTTTTTTTTTTCCATGTGATTTTTAGAGTTAAATAAATTTACGAAATAAACATTTATTAATATTTATATTTAATCCAAAAGTAACAAGTCGGGTTTAAATCTTCTTGAGAAGAAATTAATGCTTACTAAGACTATGAGTACACATTTTTAGAAGAAAACAAAATTATTGTTAATTTTCAAGCCATGTTCTTGAATAAAAAATTGAATAGTTATCGACCGAAGATATTGGTCTCTTAAGCCAAGATGATAAGATTAAAGGCAAAAAATTCTTGAAGTGCGACAACAGGTTGTGTTTAAAATATATTTGATCTTAGATCAAGATTATTTTTCTTGAATAACAAGTTTCTTTATCAGTATAAAAATAAAAAATTCTCTTACCTTTTATATAAAAGATATTATCAGCCATATTAGAGCCCTTGGAATGTCGACAATCTTTGGAAGATTGCTGCTGCTGCTGTTGTTGTTGTTGTTGTTGCTGCTGCTGCTGTTGAGGTTGCTGCTGTTGGGGTTCTTGCATCTGTAGCCTTGTAAAATGCTCTAAAAGTGCTTGTAAATGTTGATGGCTAGCAGCATCAGCAACAGCAGCGTTCATTTCACCGGCAGAAATTCCCGCAGAGAATGACTTTATAAAGGGTTCCATTTGTTGGGATACTGATTGCAATTGTTTGAGATCGGCTTTCAATGTTAGAATATCTTTCATCTGGGAATGGAATATCTCCTTCTCAATGTGTATTTTACATAGCTGTTCTTCCCACAGCGCATCGAATATATTTCTCAATCGCTCTAATTCAATTTGGTGATGCTCCAATTCCTGTTCAAGTAATCGACAATCTCTTACAGCGTGTTCATACCGTACACTTATCGGTGGTGTGTTGACGCGCCTCAACACAGTTACATCCCGTTGCAATTCGCTTATCCGATTTTTAACAGCTATTAATTGGTCATTCAATTCTTTTAGTTGGGAATCAAATGTGCGGCAGTGGCTGCTGAATTGCCCGTTGTCTGACCCCAATTTTGATATTCGAGATGTTAATTTCGTGGTCTGTAAATATAATTGTAAATAAGATATAAATAATAATTATTATCTGCATCTGATAAAGTTATTCTGAATACGATGGATATAATATAATAAGTTCTTGACCTAGTTTCGTCAGTTATAATGGCCAAAAAAAGATTACGAATTATTGAAATACTAAATAGGCTGAAGGAGGACGGAATTGGCTGCCTGAGGAAATAAGCTTGTGTCATTATTTAGATCGGATATGATGCTTTAATTGGGATATTGATTATTATAAATTTACTATTTATGCACGCCCATTAGATACCGCAAACAAGAGATGAATTTTTCTAAGAATAAGAATTAATTAATAAAATTTTAATTTTTTTGCAAGCCGACAAATAATGCCCACAGTCTTACTGTATATACGTAAGCTCTTACATTATAATCGAATTCACCAAAAAAAATTACTGTAGTTCAGACATATTAACAGTTGCTGAATTGGGGATGTTTAGATCCTATTCTCTGTCGGTATAAATATGCTTAAATGAGATAACTGGGACGCACGGTCTTAGTATGTCAGCCACTTTTGAGATGACCGAAATAGCAGTACGCATTTTAGTCCATATATTGAATCTAATAAACGTACCATTGGTTCCCGGTAATTGTATTTCGCTTCTTTTGTGTAAAATACTACCTGACTTATGGGTGATCCCGATTTTATTTGTCAATTAATTGCTAAATCGTGATTCGAGTCACTTTACCGAACCCGTTAACGGATGAACCAAATTGTAAAACTGTTAAATTCGGAAATAAACCGGATAAGCTTGACTCTATTTGATTAGCCACTCGAAAACGCAATTGTTCATCGATATCCTGTAATTTGATATTCGCATAAATTAACATCATTTGTTCAGACACTGATCTATCTATACATATAAGTTTTTTTTAAATATTCATTTATAATAGTTTTGTATGGATAATGAGTGGCGTTTATCAACGATTCTTGGTAATGTACTATCCTTATTAAATAAAATTATTTCACAATATTTAAATGCCGATAAGAGATATGATGTAAAATGATTTACATGATTTGACAGGATTAAAAATGGTTAGAAAATTAATCATTCTTAATCATATTAAATCTATAGATTTTTGCCGTTGCTTCTTTCGAAAATATAAAATTTGTGGACAAGCCGGCATAACGTTATCAATATCCAAGTGTCTAGCTTTTTCCATAAGCAATGAGTCAATTCACGTCAAGTGGACCCCCACTGTTAGGAGGATTTGTTTGTAGTTAAAAATATTTGTTAATATTTAACAAATCATTTATTAGAGACCACTTTTTAGTCCTTAATAAATATTTCTTAGTATTTAATAAGATTTATTAATATTTAATAAATGAATATCAGATTTATTAAATACAAACAAATCATTTTAAATACTAAGAAATATTTGTTTAATACTAAAAAGTGGTCTCTAATAAATGATTTGTTAATTATTAACAAATATTTTTTGGTACAAATAAATCCTTCTATCAGTGCCCCTTTTACCACTTGGTGATAGAAAACTTATTAAAATATAATTATCGAAAGTAGTCATACCTAAAAATCATCCCTCAAAACAGTTTTTAAAAATTTTGAATTTAACAATTTTTTTAACAATAAAAATTTTCAGTACTTTTAATTAAAAAATTAATTGTGAAAAAGCTATTGAAGATAACTTAACGAAATTTTCAGCGATTATAGTAAAATATCTATATTTTCACATAAAATTCTTTTGAAAATTTCATTTATTTATTATCCTATTTTTTATTAACTTTTAAATAAACAAATTGAAATTTTATTGGCCGAAATTAAAAGTACCGAAAATTTTTATTGTTAAAAAAATTGTTAAATTCAAAATTTTTAAAAACTGTTTTGAGGGATGATTTTTAGGTATGACTACTTTCGATAATTATATTTTAATAAGTTTTCTATCACCAAGTGGTAAAAGGGGGGTCCACTTGACGTGAATTGACTCAATTGAAACGATAGAGAATGTTGAAGCTCAATTAAGAAAAAATTCTTAAATAAATAATTCTTTATTATTGGTACTATTTTGTTGTTTAATGCAGATGATAGATCGTTTAATTTTTACTTTGTGTAGGGTTAAAATTTTTGTTATCACAAACTTTTATACGCAATTTAAAGAAATTAGCATTATTTTATGAAGAATTAATCCGAGTTCCTAACAAATACAATTATTATATTATTTACGTGTTTTTCTTTATGAACTCCGAAAAATGATTCCTTTGTTAAGACTTCCGAATGATAAATATCACTGTTAAACCTAGAGTTAATTATCAATATTATATTTCAATTTCAAGCTCTTCGTACTCTTGAAATTAATTTGTACAATTATAAATTAAAGAAAAAAAATTCAACTCGTGGGTTGTTAAAAACTAAAAGAAAAAAATTTAATAACCAGACATTTATGAAATACTCAACATTCTTCACGTCTACCTCAACCATTACTTTAACAATGTTCTCTATTTCTCACCTGAAGAAGTGACTGCTCATTAGAAATCTGATGAGTGTGCTCGTACAAATCTTTTTGTTGATGTTGCTGTTGTTGTTGCGCAGTGTTTATTTGTCCCAAAAAAGGTTGTAATGCCCGTGCGAATTCATTTCTATAATTTATTTTAAAGTGACCAGCCAATACAGGTGGTCTGGACGGATGTCCAAGCTGTGCGACGCGTCCAAGTCGCTCAAGCATGGGATGAGCAAGCTCTAAAAATTGGTATTTAGTGGCACCACTGGTAAAAACTGTGCACAACATTAAATGCATTTGCAATACAGGTATTGCTGAGCCTAGACTAAGTAATTGTCCTCGGACCAACCGCTCTTTTGTTTCAAATTGACGTTGCAGTTCCGCCGATACAGATGTGTGTGTTTTAGTAACAGCCTCTTGCATGCCCTGGCAATAAGAATTAAGTGAACGTTTTTCCGATTCTAAATTATGTCTCAATTCTTCCAATTGGCTTTTCAGTGCCATTAAACTATCGTGTACGCCAGCTTGCAATTCGCAAAGTGAATTGGCAGCGCGCTCCATTTTTTTATTAGCCTGTTGCCATGCTGTATCAATGTCAACGCAATGAATTCGTGCATCTGCTGGTGTATCACGAAAACAAGTCGCGCATAACATTGATTTGGTACTTTGGCTGTACATTATAAATAAATCACCATGCGAGGGACAACGTCTTTGAGTATCTTTTGAGCATTTACTCATGTGCACAACTTCGTGTGATGAAAACATTTTTGCGCGATGAGTATTTTCACGGCAGTGTGTACATAGTGCTTGACCTATGAATTATAATTATGTCACTATATTAATATACAGAGGTACGGAAAGATTTTTATTAAGGGAAAAAAGTTTAATAAAATGGATGCTGGGTATTTTTAATGAAAATTTCTTCGAAGGTATCGGGTCAATGAAAAATTTTTGCAAAAAAATTCAAATTTCAATCTAAAAAAAAAGAACCTATCTTTTACTTTTCACAGCATTTTAGCTTCAAAATTTAATTATTGTTTTATTTGAGAAATGCTTAATTTTGGGTAAAAAAAAAAAATTAAAAATTTTTTTTTGTTTTCGCGGTGTATATCTAAATTTTTCAATGAAAGTTGAAAAAATTTTAATTCTTTGGTTTAAAAATGAAAAAAACTTCAATTTGTTCAGTTCTTGGTGGAAATTCGTTAAAAGTCAATTTTTCAGAGTTTCATAATACTTTTTTCCTATAAATCACGATTTAAACTTTTTTTATGAATTGAGTTAGTTTATTCTTCTAATTTTAATACTTAACAGAAGCAAATGGCCGTGAAACTAAACATTTTTTGCTATTAATTCATAAAAATAAGTGTCAAAAACTGAATTATACATTAAAGTTTTTGGTGTTGAAATTATCTTCAGTTATTTTATACATAATAATTTGTGTGAGTTCATAGGGTAAAATTTTTTGATTTAAAGCCTGAAATTATAATTAGTCTCGTATTCATTTTTTAATTGAGAACTTTAATTCAAAACTTTACAGCCCTTATTTTTATTTGATTGTCTTTCTGTAAAACAATTGCTAAATTTTTTTTTTTTGAAAGATTGATAAAAACTTTATTGATTAAAATTAAATATGCTATAAAAATGAATTCTGATTATTTTTTCGTGTCTTCAAAATTTTATCTGGCAACTTAATTTCAAATTTTTATAGATAATTTTTATTCCACACAAATTTTATTTTCAATTTATTGTGTTTTATTCACAAAATTTGAAATAAAACAAAATAAAACTTTCAAAAAACTATATTTAGTAGCCAGTAAGACAAAAATTAATTTAACGATAAAAAAAATTTATTATTTTTGATAGTATATTGTGTGATAAGAGATAAAACAAGACGCTTTCAGACTAAGTCTAGGGTGGAGTTGAGAAGTGGCACTACCCGAACTTTGAGATCGTGTTTCATCCTGTGTCACACACTACTATGTTTTTCAAGACTTTCTGCATTGAAACCAAGTTTTAGTATCACCAGCCAGTGAAAAACAATCCAATTTAAGGACAATGAACTATTATATTACCAAGAACGTGAATTCTGATTGAAAATAACAGCAAAGAAAAAAAAAACGTAAATTAAAAAATTAAAAATCTTAAAAAACATGTTTTTGTATTTGCAATAATTTATTCAAACTGAAATGTGAATTAATTACTTTTGCTAAAATCTCAGCAAAAAATCAAAGATTTTAACTTCTAATTTTATTATTTACAATTCAAAATTTATTTAAAAAAAAAAATACGAGCATTGAAATGAATTGAAGGCCATTCAATAAAATTGTGTCATCTAAAGCAAAATTATTTTGAAAGGTATTGTGACTATTGACATTTACAGAACTGTGATCTTGATTGTGTATTCTACGGACAGATTATGATAAATATAAGTGTGTAAAGCTCTGAGCATATCGATGAATTGATGCAACACAAAGGTGTCCCTGAGACATCTGGAAGAGTTTTGAGTGTCATTATAAATAAAGCAGCTTTTAAAAATCCCTTTGAAACATCACTTAAAAGCAAGGAACCTTTGCACCCTATCCCCTTATACCCAGCATGGTACTTGATTCAAGAAAACAATTATCAACAACCAGATAAATAACTTACAGCAAGTAGTGCAAAAATACATTGTTGATTTATCACGTTTGTCACAATTGGCACATGCTGGATTTTCGTTATTGGCTATTTCGATCAATTGACGTATCAACTGATCAACCGGTGGCATCTGGGTTCCTTCCTTTAATTGGGTTATTTGTCTGGAAAAATTATTAAAATTAATAAAAATCTTCCATAAAAATAATGAATAAAAATGATATGCTCTAAAATTACCCGCAAATAGGACAAATAACTTTTGAATCGAGGTGAGGTCCACGAACACATCTCGAACAAAGAGTATGAAAACAAGACAGTAGACAAGGCTCAGTGTAATAATCCTGACAAACACCACAAGTCAATGGATTCCGTTGTGCTGTGTTCCCAAGACCAGCAGTTGCATCTACATCAATACCATCTGCCGAGTTCGCCATTCTTGGAACCGTTGCTTCGCTTTAACTTAACAGAACTCACCCCTTACTGAACTATATCAGTTGCTAAACCATCTAAATGCTTTTCAAAGTTGTTCACCTGACAACCCTTGTGCTTGATTTTAAAATCAAGCTCCGCATATCGGTACCTGCATTGACACTCCCCGTGTTAAAAAAACTTAAATCGATTCCCCTTCTAAACAAACTACACAACATTACAAACAAAATGAAACTCAATACAGCACTAAAGGTAAGATTCAACAAACTATTTTACTGGTCAAATTAATAGGTTACGGTAATTAATAATTAATAAATTGTTTACCCGCCCTAGAGACGCGTCGACTGATGACGCGTTTCCGCAATCAGCTCTGTTGTTTTATCCCACAGTCCTCCACATTATTGTGACGTACTAACTATTCGAGATGTTACTGCTGGTGGTATGTAGTGGTAGAGGTGGTAGTACCACCGATGATGACAGAGCTTCCAAACCATCCCCATCCCCATTAGCGAGCTTGCGCCGTTACGAATTACGTCATACCCTACGGAATACACTCAACCAATCAGATAACGTCTTTATATAATGCTTTTTTGTTATTATTTTTTTTAATATTTTTTTTACTTTTTGGCTGTGTACGGACTACATTCATCGATGAATACACTTGGGATCTGTATTATTCCAACGGTCCTACCCTTCCAACGGGTCAACGGGCGTGAAAACAACCAGCCGAGGAGCACATACTACAGATCTACATAACATTTATTTACACATTTATTGTCCCTCTTGTTCAATCCTCCGTTCTGCTTACATTCGATTTTATTTGGATATTCAATTGATTTTTAAAATTTTTATTTGTTGCATTTTTTAATGATCGAAATTAATTTTTTCACTTGCAAGTTATTTTTTCGTATTAACTAAAATAATTGTTTCTGATAAAATATTTTGCTTCTATTCATGTTTTGTCGGATGTGGTTTAATTATTTTAATTAAAATGTTTTTAATTGAATTTCGGTATGAATGAAATTCATTTGTAAATAGATGTAACATTGTTAATAAATTAAAGAAGAAGTGAAACGTAAAAAAGTTGTTTTTTTTTTTTTTTTTTATTGAAATAAATTTAAAATTGAATCGAGTTAATTAAGTGTTGAAGATATTTTTTGTTATTTTCTTTTTAATTAGCTGTGAATTGAATTCAACTTGGCGCGGATTTTCAAAGGCGAAGCGCTGCTGTCAGATTTTTAAATCAAAATAATAAAGTTAAAATTTTTTATAAATCTAAAATGAAACTTTAATTATTTTTACAGCTTTTTTGATGAAATTAGTTTTAGTAAAGCTTGTAAATATATGTTTTAAAGCTTGATAAGAAATTATATGTACTTCATTGCAATTTTTGTTGCAATAAATAACAAAATTAAATGCTATTAATTTGTATGACGTATTGTAATGTGTTTGTGTTACTTTTCTTTTTTTTAACTTCCCGCTAAGAAAATCGAAAATTTTAAAAAATCGGGAAGTTATTGGTTTAACCCCGTTTTCTAAAAATCGAGTTTTCATCAGATCTCGACATCTTAAGATCACAGAAAGCTTCCCTGTCTACCCCCGCGATGTTGTTGTCACTATGTGTGTGTATGTGTGTAAGTATGTCAATCGCTTATAACTTTTGAAAGGTTTGACCGATTTCATCGCGGTTGGTGCCATTCGAAAGGGATTGGCCAAACTTAAATTTCCTGTAAATTTGAACCGATTCGGACAGATAAATTTTGAGAAATTTTGAGAAAAAAACTAAGAAAAATAACTTTTTTTTAATGTAGTTTTTTTGCAATAAGTTTTAAACGGCTTTATTGATCAACTTCAAAAACTAATCAGCCCTTAACCTCAAAAAACCACGTCGATCACCACCGGTCCGGTCAAAATCAATTGATTCGTTCGAGAGACATCGTGAACGAAAGAAAATTGAAAAAAGTGTTTTTTCGGAATCACTCCGAAACCCCTAGTTCGATCGGTGACACGACAAAATCTCCCCGACAAAATCTAATTTTAAATAATAATATTATTATTCCTGACAGTTGTAATGGTATTTTTCGTGTAAATATACACAAAAAATCATGATAAAAGGGCACAACGAGATTTTGAAGCGTATTTTTGTCGTAGGAGATTTCGGTGATACAACCGATTCATTCATTAGGTCGAAGAGCTTAAAAGCACAGAAAAGTTATTTCTTTGAGCTCGGAGAACTTAAAAAAACACATGAATTGTATTTTTGAGCTCGAAGAGCTCAAAAACTTCATAGGTGCAATTTTAAGCGCCTAAGTATGGAATTTGCGGGAAATTTTTGTATTATTTTTGTAATTTAATGAAATCGTAGAAAACTTCAATATTGTAGAGACTTTAAACAAAATAATAAAAAAAAATAGTAAGTAACTAACGAAGTTGTATGATTTAACTGATAAAACTGTAAATTATAAGTTTTAAAACTTTCAAAACTATAGCTTAATTATTTGATGTACACTGCAAAAAAAGTTTAAGGTAGTACCTCCACGAAAAGCATATTTCAAGAAACTTATGAAATTTTTTTTATCGAAAAATAAATATATTAATAATTCACCACCAAAATTTCAGATCAATTCACCACACCGTTTTTGAGTAATTAATTTTCGAAATTGCATCTTTTACACGTAGTGGTATAGGGAGATGGTAAAGTTAGTATGAAATCTTTCGTACTACTCGAGTGGTACAGATGGCGCATTTAACATAGGTATAAGCCATATACACTTAAACGTATTGTGATAGGACTTATACTTTTTTTTCAGAGTAATTTAATGAATAAGCAAAGTTTTTTCGTATCCTGAAATTATCAGTGTGTCCTTAATGGTAATTTAATATTAACATCAAACTCATTGAAAATAAAACTCAAATGAAAATTCAAAACTGTTTACTGGTAACTTTATAATATTTCCGATTGCTACAAAATTTGACTTTTCTATTCTCTAATTATTTGCGACCAGGTTCAAGAGTTGCGGTTCAATTTTATTCGAAAAAATTTGATAATTTCAATTATCAATTTAATTGATTTAATTTAGCTATTTTTCTCATGAAAAAAATATATAATAATTATTATTCACTTAAGTGAAAAAATAGAAGAACAATAGGAAGCCATCTTTCTGATCGCAAACGTAATGATTACATCACCGTCACAATTTAGGAAGTTACCATACAAATGTAAAGCGGTATAATAATTTCTAAAAGTTTTGTTCGTGTAATTAATTTTATTGTAATATGTCATTGAACTATGATACTAAAATCAATGGGCACCTGACAGTTTATAAATTTTATTTAACAAGTAAATTAGTTCTGTAAAATTTATTTGACGAAGTTAATTATTATAAAACAATTTAAATATAAAATAAAAAAAAAAAACATATGGAACATTTCGATATCATGAAATTGAGGTATTCAATCGTTTCTATGCGTCAACATTTATTTCTAACTTATCAAGTTGGGGGGCTGACATGTATGCACTGATAAATAATGACCCAGCCACATTTTTGCCCTATCTATCAGCTTACAGAAGTTGTGAGATGCTTCTGGATTCTTTGCCTTAGGGGGCGTCCATAAATTACGTGAGGTGTTTTTTTTTAATTTTCTGTCCCTCCCTCCCCCCCTGGTGAGGTCGTGAGATTTTATTCAACCCCTTCCCCCATCCCCCAATCTCACGTGAGATTTTTCAAAATGTGGGTTTCTTACGTAAACGCGTTGGATTGTTATTGTAAAAAGAAAAAAAAATAAATTCAAACTAAACTTCAATGCACTTATGTTTTTCATACATACTTATAAGTTAATTTATTGTGGACAAATTTTCACATTTCATAATTGAAAAATAAAACAATAATTAAAAAATACTAGCATTCCTGCCATGAGACATAAGAATGTTATAGTTTCGTGATTTAACATTTTTAATTAATTTATTCATTTGCATTAACTGCAAAAACTTTAACATGGTTAAGGTTATATTGTGCAAATGAAAATGTAAACAACCGAAATATAGCGTTGCCAAATCACGGACAGGTTACTAGCAGCTGATTTAAAAGAGCCAAATTAATTTTTGTATTTAACTATTTTTAACTTCCCGCTAAGAAAATCGAAAATTTTCAAAAATCGGGAAGTTATTGTTTTCACCCCGTTTTGCAAAAATCGAGTTTTCATCAGATCTCGACGTTTGAAGGTCACAGGAAGCTTCCCTGATTATCCCCGCGAGGTTGTCACTATGTCTGTATGTATGTGTGTGTATGTGTGTGTGTGCGTAAGTATGTGAATCGCTTATAACTTTTGAACGGTAGAACCGATTTTATCGCGGTTGGTGCCATTCGAAAGGGCTTCGCCAAACTTAGATTCCCTGTTAATTTAAATCGATTCGGACCGATAGATTTTGAGAAATTTTGAAAAATCTGAAAAAAAAATAAGAAAAAAATCATTTTTGAAAGTGGTTTTTTTGGAATATCTTTTAAACGGCTCGATCAATCAACTTCAAAAACAAATCCGCCCTTCAACTTGAAAAACTACGCCGATCGTGAACGAATGAAAACCGAAAAAAGTGTTTTTTCGGGATTACTCCGAAATTTTCGGTTCGATCAATTAAAACCTGAAAATAACTTATGAGGATGATAAAACTGCGTCGAATGGCGCCAACCACGTGAAAATTGGTTGATCCATTCAAAAGTTATTGCAGTTTGAAAATTCCAAAAATAGTGTTCTAGTTCTATGAAACTTCTATCAGACTTTTGAGCTGGGAGAGCTCAAATGTATAGAAATATTATTTCTTTGAACTCAGCGAGCTCAAAATACCACATAAATTATATTTTGAGCTTAAAAATCTCAAAAATGTCATAAGTACAATTTTAAGCGCCCAGAAATGGAATCAGCGGGAAGTTGCACGGATGGCCTTTAGGGTGAACCGTTTTTCTAATTTTTTTTTTAGTAGTAGTAGTAGTATTCTTTAGGCTCTGGGTATTTTTCCATTCGGCCGCTGTACTTGATGTAATTTTTTTTTTGTTTCAACCAGAAAAAAAATTGCGTGATATTTGCCGAGACCCCCCTCTCTCCAACGTAAGATTAGATGAGATTTGACTCGACCCCCTCCTCCCGTTAAACACCTCACGTAATTTATGGACGCCCCCTAATGGAAGGAAGAAGAAATATAATACTTGTATCAAAAAATAAAAAGTTTATTTTTTTTTTCTAATTGTATTTATCTAATCAATAAAAAATACAAGTTTTGCCTCAACACCTAGTTTAAAAAAAAAATAAAATAATATTTTTAGTTGCTACTATACAAAATTTAATTTTTCTTCTCTTGATTAAAAATTCTGTTAAAAAAAAACTCAACAAATAAAATAAATAAGACAGGTAATTAAAAGATATAAAATGACTTAATTTCTTTATTAAACATCTTCATTACTTGAGCGACTCTCATGGTATACTGAACCACTCCGCCAGTGATAAATTCCGCTTAGTACTTCTCAATCAAATATATATATATATATATATTTAGTGTATTAGAATTATTAATATTTAAAATATTTCTCTATCTAAGACGTAGTGTATTTTATTATTTATAGTTCAGATTTTAATTTTAAATTTAACAAACATGTATAATTTGTTTATTTCTAAACAGATTTAATTAAAAAAACACATTTATAAATATATTCTCAGTTATCATACGAATTTCATCCTTTTATAAAAATTATATCTAAAATGACAAAATCTCAATAAAACTGCTAAAAAATTTTTTATAGGAAACTAACTTCCTTAAAAAAATATCCCATAAAATTTATCTTTACTTTCAACATTCCAAAAAAAATTTCGATCTACAAGTTTTCCAGTTAACTTTTGTAATAAATTTTTCATAATTAAAAATAAAACTATATAATATCAGACTCATCAATAAAAATACGTACAAAGTATTTGTAAGGTTGGAATCAATTTAATGATTTTGAGATAAATTATTTATTAAAACTGAAGACAAAGGACTTTGAAGTTTTCCTTTTTACTTTGATCGACTATTTAAATTATTTTGCGCAGGCGCTTACACTTATTCTGATATTCCGAGATAAAGTGCACATACTTGTTATGGTATAATAGTAGCTTTCGTCTGGAATCAGCTTACCTGTCATTGAAATAATTTGTGCCCGCTGATTGGTTCGAATCTCTATCCTCGAAGCAGACTCTTCGGGTAATTGTTCTAGTCAGTCAATACATAAACTGTATAAACACTATATAAAAATAAAAATTGATTAAAATGTTTATATATTTGTAATTGTAAATTTTAAATAGCTTACAAAATTATGCCGTCCCGATCAGAAGATATTTTAAAAGGATTCCAAGTGTAAGTTTTTTTGTAGATTATTTGTTTACTCACTGTACTTATTTCTGATTATATCCGAGTATGTATCTGAGGTTATGTCAATTAAAAATAGCTTTCTAACATCATTTAAAATTACCTACCTGTAAATTATGCTGTAATAATAAATTAAAACTAATGTAGGTAATTACTTAATAACTGTCTTTAAAAATTACAGAAATTGGATGAATTTGAGAGATGCAGATTCCGGAAAAATACTGTGGCAAGGAAACGAAGATTTGTAAGTTTTGACATTTGACGATCAAATAGATTGATGATTTTTTTTTTTTAGTGTTTTTAATTTTTTTGAATTCTCAAGTTAGCAAACACAGCAATTTTTTTTCTACATATAAAATATAAAAAACAGAAAAAAAAATTTTAAAGTTTCTAAAACTATAAACAAAAATTACTATGATATTGAAATTAACGAACATTTGTCAGTTGTTCGAATTCCTATAGGAATATATGTTATATATAACAACTAAATTATTGTGAAAAAATTCCACGTCTAAAAATAAAAAAATAATTATTAGTGCAAAATTTTTTAAATATTTTTTTTACCCTAGTTAATGTGTTAGAAAAATTCAGGGTAAATATTTACAAGTGGGGTCCATCATTTTTATTTTCATTTTTTTTAATGAAATTTCTATTTGATTTTATTGATATATTTTTTTTTAAATACATAAAAAAATGAACAATTTAAAAAAAAAAGCTGATTATCACAATTTTAACAGATTTAAAAAAAATTTATAAATTTTTTTTTAATTGTTCGTTTTTTTATGTACTTTTCAAAAAAATATATAGGTTAAAAAACCCCATTAGTGGCGGAGACCCCATTACTGACACTTTCTTTAATTTCGGTACTTATTCAATTAATGAAATCATTAATTTCAATAATGAATATATTATTTCTAATCTTTAAGACCTTTAGATCCAAAAAATTTTTAATTTTTATTCTAACTAGAGCATTTTTTCATGAGTGTGAATCTGGCAGACATCCGACAATTGAAAACTTCAACTATCGATATCTTCATGAATATATCGATTGGTACGATTTTGACGACGGGCTCTGACGCGTATTTGAATTGTCTACAAAAGCATTTTTTTTTTTTTTTTTTAAATTCATTATTTGAGCTGTAATTGTAAAAATAAATTTTCGTTTGCAAATATTAGAAATATATATTATTAAAAATAAATGAAAGTCAGATATTTTAACAACTTATTACTTAAGTTTCACAAGCATTTTTTTTATATTACTCCGACGATCACTAAAATCAATTTTGAAATTTTAATAATAAAAAAACAACTAAAAAAATGACTCAAATAAAAAACAAAAAAAATGCTCTTATAGAGTTTATAAAAATCTACAAGAGCTTTTTTTTTGTTTTTAAGTTTTCATAAGTTTATCATATACAAAATAATTTTTTTATCAGCCGACAAATTTAATTTTCCATATTTAGGCCTGGAAACACTCTATAAAAATATAAAAAAATATGAATTTTGTTTATATTCTGAAAAATTAAACGAGCATTTTAATAAAAATATTTTTTTTTTATTTTAACCACGAAAAAATTAAAAAATTACATTTTTTTGGTTAAATATTTGTTTTATAA